AGAACGAGATGCATGTGTATCGGGTTTCACAGAAATTAGTCATGCGAGTTGAAAGACTATTGTTGCAGCTAGAGCAATTTTTACAAAGGAAAGGATGTGCAAAAATTAGAAATCGAACTACCCTACTCGTAAGTAGTCGGACGGATAAATTTTGACGGACAATAATCGAGAAATTGGAAGGGGCCGACTGGAAAGTCTATGGGAATGCGACAGCTGCGATCAACCATGGGTGATGTTCAAACTATATGGAAATCGGAAAGTGTGAGAAACTTTGAAAAGTAATCGAACAAGCAGGTGTGTTTTTCATTAAAGCTGCAATCTACACCCGTTTCGTTCCGGACCTACCATTACTTGCACTTGAGTGTCTACGTTTTCTGTATCGTTCAAAATATGCCACTTGTGTCGATCCTGTTGATAAACTCTGATTGTGTTCACTGTTTCCTTCGCACACACTTGACGATGTTCATCATATATCGTACCCGCCTTCTAAAATGATCACCCCTTTTACGAGTTAACCATGTACAATATTTTGAATGATGATCACTTACTCCACTTATTCGTGTATCTGATAAAATCAGTGACCAAAACATATGGAGAAGAACCCATTCACGAAATACATTTATGGACATGGTGCAAAATGTTAACCTGGTTTACGCGGCCAGAACATAAAAGGGCTTTGTAAGAATGTGCAATTCCCAAGAAAGTTATGAACCTTAATTGGTGTGGGCCATTATAAACACTGTTTCATTTTATTTATGGAACCAGTTACTATGCGTATTTGTGTTACTTTTTATATTATTCTCTTTGCAAAGTTAGTTTTCGTTATGCTCATTCTTCATTCGGTTGTTTGTGTGTTCATGCTGATACTGAACGAATTGATCTGCTCTCCTTTGAAGATCAAAAGTGAAGCTAAGATGACGTTCATACAATCTAGAATCTTTGATTTCTCAGTTTTCGGACTCCTTCTCTCAAGCTCTCTAATCAATTCTCACTCTAGGTAAACGGATGGCTACAAAAAAGGAACATTGAGATTACTTTAAGACTGTGTCTTCTTATCCCGTTCCAGTCAAATATCAGGCGCGGCATATCAAACCGTCAGTTAATTTTTCAGAGCAATGTTCACAGAGCCTTGTAGTTGGCGGTGTGGTTCAATGTCATAATCAACGGTCCACCGATCCGTTTCCTACAAGTTGATTACTGACCAGCAGACTCACTTTCATTTACTGTCTGTGGCTCGGCTCATTTGACAATTCATTTTTCTCAGAGATTCTCGGTTTCACTCCAAAAACGGCTTCCTCCTACAGAAAATGATTGCGGTCGACCAGACCGGACCGAAATCCGCACACTGATCCCCAAGTAGCCTGCAACAATTTTTCACTTATTTGGTCTTTGATCCGCAGAGCCCGGTAAACGTGACTACAATGTTTGGCACCTGCCTTTCAGGCCTCTGACTCAGGAATATTTGGAAGTCACTATGTGCTCTGTATATTCCCATGTGTTTTCCATCCTATAACACAAATTTTTGGTTGAAATTGAGGGACTTTTCAAATGCGTGTTCTGATTTGACTCGGAAGTAATCGGTGGTCGAAACTCATGAGTTGGCCGAAGTGACCACTCGGTCCTCTGCCGTGACAGCTGCGGTCAATCAGAAAACCTTGCTCATATTCTGCAATCATGCTGGATCACACATGACGCGCGTTGTGGTCGACACAACCGCGTGGCCAAAGACCTGGCAGAACGACTGTGCAACTTGAGCTATACAATCTTCGAGGACCTGCAAGTACTAACGGCGAGCTCGTTCATCAAACCCGATGTGATCGCGGTTCGTGACGGCGCCGCTGTGGTCCTTGATGTCACTATAGTGGATGACTACCGAAGCCAACTTGCCTGGATGGACAAAATCGCTAAGTACAGAACCGACTCTCATAATGCCGCCATTCAATCAGTCCTTCATACTATGGGCTGTGATGTGAACTTTGTTTCTCATTCACCCATGATCATCTCTTTTCGCGGTATCATATTCCCCTCTTCAAGTAGCGTTATGCTTCGACTGAGAATACCCTCCTACGCAGTCACGGATTTATGTCTACTGAATGTTCTAGGTTCCCTAAGAATCTACGACACATTTATTCGGGAAACCTGACGTCAATTGTTGTCACCTCTCGGGCAGTTGTCTCACTATGAAGGACATTTTTCTGTCCCGATGCGTACGCCTTGACTGTGATAGCAACCCTGTGCCCTGTAGAGCTTTTGATTTTGTGAGACTGACTGTTTATTCTCTTTTTTTCATTATTTTTCGTGTATTTATTTCTTATTCTAAAATCCGTTTGTTACATACCGCACAAGTAACTTTTCATTTACTGACTGGACTATTAACACTTGCTACTCTTCTGAGAGTACTTGTCAACTGTCCGGTGCTGCTAAACTATGCAACGCCCCACATTTGACAGGCTACTTGTTTTCACCTTCACCTTTTTACACATCTGTTGATTAATTTTGATGTCAACGTTTGATTTTACTTTGAACGAGAATGTGTATATTGCACTTCAAACTGAACGTAAGTATTAAGATGAATCAAATAATAGGGGTATAGCAGATAACTGTTTGCAGATTTTGGTTGAGACAAACGGCTTACAGATTGTAACGACTCGGGGTTGATCAGAACTTTCCCATTCAGAAGAACATGTTGTCTGACCCATTGCCTCAAGTTTCCCTCTTGTCAATGAGCTAACATTAGAAGCTGTGAATATTGCTGAGCAATGCTAACGAGCAAAACTGATATTGGACGAAAAGTATGACGCGAATAGCAAAATGCATGACAGTCGTAGGCACCCAAAATATAGGAAGAAAGTTGGAAAGAAATGGCTGTTTGAGTTAAAGTGTTTCAGCAAGAGGACTAATGTTTTGAGACAGGGACACCGATGGCAAAAGGATTAGTTATTCAAGAAAACAATATGTGTTTTGCGTCTCAACGACAACAATCAGATAATTCATCTGCGTACGCTACTGGGCCCTGAACGTCACGGCTGCCACAGACGCCAATGCTCAGTTCCTTTACATACTGAGAACCATTCGCTGCGATGCTGCACACCGATGGTTCCTCCTGCGGCTACTTCAATATCTAAATCTATGCTCTGGCCCCATTACTGAATAGCAATGGTGAGGGAAGTATAGTGTGATCGTTCATCCTCACTACACTAACATCTTACAACGGACAGTCGATGCCGCAGCAGACATTAGTACAAACTGTGTACACGGTTGAAGTTGTATACAGTTACGCACGCAGTAGTTCGCACATGGCACTAAACAATTTCCCTGACAGGCCGTCTTGTTGTAAAATAACGGTATCTGACCAACTGACTAACGGCTCAGGTGCTTAATTTGGATATGCCATCGTCTGTGCACTAAAAGGAGGTGATCATTTTGACAAAAGTAAATACAAAATCAACGCCTCAGCGTGTTGGTGACAGAACTGTGTAAAAACACTTACCTTTACGAATACTTTGATTTCTGTATGACTATCCAAAATTGGACAAAAGTTTAGTAAGTTGAACGTGTAGCGTTCTAGACGAGTCACTGAACAGCTTAAGTAAATGCAAATTTACCTCACTAGTCTATCGGTGAAAATAAAATGAACGAATGAAACAAAATAGTTACAGGATTCCGACAAGTTACGATAATCAAAGGATTTGACACACAGGAAGTGTTCACAAGCGTTTAGATAATCACCACAATATTTCAAATTACCAAGTATCCTGAAGTGGGGAATATTACTAATTTGCCGTGGACTGCTGAAGCGCGATCCGAGGTGCGACGATGTGCGTAGTACAACGGAGCTAAAAAAAATTGGATGATGCGCAACGGAGAGAAGAGCAGACCGATGCGCACAAAATTTGTATTGTATTACAAGGTCACTTTTATCAATGTTAACAACATGCAAAGGTGATATAAAAATTGTTGTACGGAAATGAAGCATCGTTTATAAACAAATATAAGGTAATCTATACAAACGTACTTTATTGGCACACAAGCAAACCCCATGGGTAGATTGTTGATCCTATTTAATGTCGGAAATGACCATATTAGTATAGCAGTGTACAAAAAAAACGACTTTCAAATTTTGGTCTGAAACTGTGGTTTATGAAAACATCGCATTTGAAGGAAATTTCTTACCTGTGATTGAAAATACCACACCCTGTGTGATCATAGTTTATCTGGGGATAAAAATTAACGGCTAGACTTACAGGTTTGCGCTGCGTAGTTTGCTTATTTCTGAAGTCCTACAGAGACTGACTTTCATACGTTGTTCCCTGTCACACGGAAATCGAACAGTACAAAAAAAACCAGAGTGGTTTGGAATCAGCACACCTCAAAAACCTTTTTTCAAAGTTCCAAACTGATGGTACATTCAGTCATTGTATAAAGATTTGCAAACAAATTTCATCAGTAAATCCTGAGTGTCAGTAACTCGGTGGACGGTTGATCTGGGAATGCACGCCACTTTTTAACAGGGCCAGTTAATTGTAGCATTTTGCTCCTTAAACCCTTCATCTATTAGATGGATAGAAATGTTGTAACTTGAGTATACTGCCTACGAGCGCGTAAACAGACAACACAATAACGGTTAGTGAAACGATAGATAACAGAACGACGTTCAACGAGTCTGAACGGCTGTCTACGAAAATGTGCACGATTCCAGGCCGACCCAACCACTTGAGGCTAACGAACGAACACAGAGGAAAGACTGGCCTCCGGACAGAGCTGCTTTGTCTCTCAATCCGAAGACAACACGGTCACAAACCTGTAGCAGCACACTGTTGTGTGGTCAAGGTCATATGTCTAGACCGACTTACTGTAGCATGTGACCAGGATGTTATGCCCACACATTCACCGCTGAGCGATCCTCACGCGCATGCACCTGTAATGACTTCGAACAACTCACAGTTTGTCAACACCACTGTAGTCAATGTCACACGCATACGCACAATTGCGAAAAATCTGGACTTCGGCCGAACTCGAACCAGCGACTGAGACAACATGCCTAAACGTGGCAAATACCCTACCAGCTGAGCTACGAAGTCACGTCGGAAGCTCAGAAATGACACATTTGAACCTGGTTACCCACCCAACCAACTGTATCATGAAATCCACCAAATGATCCAGCCGATTGACTGTCCAAGCAAGATTTCTCGATCTGAACTTCCGGCGTAATTTCGTAGCTCAGCTGGTAGGGCATTTGCCACGTTATGGCATGTTGTTTCTGTCGTTGATTCGAATTCAGCCGAAGTCCAGGTTTTTCGCAATTGGGTCTGTTCTAAATTGTTTTACTCGAATGCTGATTGTCACAAAATCCTGACTGGTCATTGCGTTGATATACCAGCCTGCTCAAGCTGCCGACATCGATTGGTTTAATCCTTCCGAAGTTCATTTGTCGACCTCGTGTCGATTCGGCCGTCCAATCCAATACCTTTAGAGACTCCGTAGTTTCCACTTAAAAAAATGTTTCACCATCGTGATTTTGATCATTTTTAGGGTCCTTTTCGGGGAACGTTTTGGGTGACCATTGTTAGTCAGTCTAGCCATTACCTCCTCTTAAACTTCTTGACTTGGATGAGTTAGTCGTTGTTCGATGTTAGTATACATCAAACGGGTATTCATCTGCTACCGTTCACACACTCAGCATGTCTATCGGAAAGGTGAACAGTAGCGGATCAGCTTCGTATAGAACACGAATGTACTCACTCCTCGATAGCAGCAACATTTACAAGATTGGAGTTTCTTGGTGCTGTAAACGATGTCGGTGAATATAACGAGCTAACTGTGCCACGGATGAACCTAAAAACAGAAGTTACTCAAGATACACGCAGGTAAAAAATCCTTCCTTGTAATTACTTAATGAATAGGGAACACCAATAAGTAGTGCAAAGGAATGATCATCGAGGTCACTCACAAGGATCTTTCAGATTAGCATGATCAACTTTTGCGTAAGCATTAAACAGCTCACTCCACACATACAAACGCACCACGATGTGTCTTCATAGTCCATGTGTTTTTAAATTTGTCCGCTGACAATGATGACAAAAACATTATGTTCTGACAAACTGTTGGCTAGCGACATATAGGAGAAGTAGGAAATTGAATGAGGGATGTACGAAACGTTTGTAAAGGGATTGTATATTCTCGACTAACTCGTTTCGAGGGCGTGGCAGTTTTAAACGTTACCATGGAAGTGGTCGGCTTAGACTAACCGCTGGCACCGTGGGCAAGTGAGTCTTGTCGACAGGAAGGCTGAATGACTTTGCTTGCGGTAGTAATCTAGATGGACTTAGTAATTTTCGTGTTCCCGCACGTATTACGATGTCACTCAATTGGCAAGAGTAACCGACGCAAGCGTCTCATACGTGTGCCGTATCAGACGTTTGGATTTGCCAAGCTTCTCAAAGCGTCGTTAGACGTACGGTTCTCATGCCAACATTTAGAACGGTGTTTACCTAACTTCTGTCCTACCAATATGTGCTCCGTTGTTGGACAGAAAATGTCCAGGTGAATTCTGGTGGGTTAGTTAGCTCGGAACTAATATGGTAAGTGCCAGACTCGCGTTCGTAACTCTCTGTACTGGATGTCTGTTCGCTTTCTGGACGACCCAACTTATTGTTCTTGTTTACATCGCAGCTACCTTCCCTCTGCTGAATACCGTTTGTTTCTCTAGTCAAAAGTCCATCCGATTAAAAAAAACGTCCCATCAAGTTGAGCATGATGGTCGTTAATGTCAAAAACCGACAACTGCCTGAGATGCGGAGGTGGACTGAATCACGTCTTCGTCACTGGAACTTAGATAGTCGTTTACGCGTGGTAAAATTCTTGGGTGAACGATGGTGTGAAGAATGCCGTAGTATTTAGTGATGTGATTCAACTCATTCATGAGTTCTAACCTGTTTGCTTAGAAGGATCAAGTTAGTCTGCGCAGATCACACAATCACATGCTTCAGGAACCTACAGCTAGAATATTCACCCACATTATTGTACATCATGAATGGCAGGATGTTTCGTGATGACAGGGACACTGTCCTGCACGGCAGTTTAAGCCTTCTTGTAAACCACCCTTCACTAGGTCACTTCATGCAGATCACGTTGACCATTCTTATTAAGCTGTATATAGTGCACGAGTTGTGTGATCCATAAATGCTGGTTATTGAGAGAGCGGTTTCTTGTGACAACCGGCTACTTAAAGCAATGGCGACATTCAACAAAGATCGCCCCGATAATTGACACCTAGACCTGAGGTTATGTGCATAAAACTGCAGTTAATCGAGGGAGGCTATCGTGTCTTACTCTTTGTGAGGTCCAAGCCAGCCAGGCGACGATAACTGAACTCGGCCGCTCGTCTCGTCAGTGAGTGCACAATGTAAATACGGCCCCACAAGTCATCGATTTCTGTGATTTCAACCTGGTGAGAAGTCCTAGTCGAGGAGTCATCGATAGGAGTTAACAGACAGTAACTGTGTCTGCTCTCGAGGCGATCAGGCAACCTGATAGTTACCCACGAGCGAAAGTGGTTGAACGTTCACATATGATAATTCGTTCGTGCCCAATGTGAGGTCAACGGCGCAGTGGTAAACACGATTGCTTCATGAAAAGCGTGGCCGGAGTTCTAGTCCCAGTGGAGGCAAGGATATGCACTATTGAGTCTATCGAGTCTAGTGCTTCTTATCGAAAGGGGTCGACTGCAAAGTCTACAGAAATGCGACAGCTGCGATCAGTTGTGGGTAATGTTCAATTTACACAACGTAAATGTCTAATTTGCACGAGATGGGCACCACCCAGGCAGGCAACTGGCCATGATCACACGTCAAAACCGACTGAGTTGGGCCATCATCCCCACTGCGTTGTGCACCTAAAGACAAACACACACTGACTTCGACGACCATTACTTGCCTTGGCCCAGTAGCGTGTAACGACGTGAGTGCTGCGTCATTCTATTCATCCATAGTTGGCCGGGCGTGTCGGTCTGACTGAACGGTGAAAACAACCTCGGATATCGATCGCCCGTAGTCTTTGTCCAAATGCGAGAGCACGCCTCGATGGAAATTTTGTTTATCGTGCCAAAAGGGAGCAAGGTACGGAGTAGAGGTGAGACTTTGTGCATTGACATACGACAATAATGCGAAGTGAACAATGTCATAAAGCTGAAGTTGATATAGGATGGGCTCTATGTAATTGCAGGGAATAAGATGCGTTGTTGCTTACAGAGTTGCCATACGCAAAATAAAGATGAGCGCTGAATGTTGTGAAGTGGATGATCATGGACCTTGAAAGCAGTCTCCCATAATTTACACGAATTCGCGAGGGGAGAATGAGGGGAACAGTGTAGCAGCGCAATGGACTACAAACATACGCAAACGTTGCAGTCAGCCTTGGACGATTGATAGAGGTTTCAGTTTCCTTGAAGAAAACTTTCGGCACCCAAGTTTGTTTAAAAAACAAACATATTCGGACAGCTGTAACTCGGATGAAATAAAAATATCCAGCTGGTTAACACATTCACCGACAGGCAATTCGGTTTCACATTCAGGGTGGTTCCTGACAATCCGTCGTCCACTCTGGAAAAAGAATGCCTGAACTAAATAAATATAGTGGTTGTAAACATGAGAGTGGAGTTTAATAAATCCTCGAGATGGCCTAAAGAGCAGACTGCTTACTTCCGTGGACCATCCTGTATGTGATACGTAAGAATACAAGACGTACAGTCAGTGTGCAATAAAACTGTACACCTTGACATTTTCTGTGATTGAGAAACGAACGTTGAGATGAAGACCAGTGGATCACTTTGAATATAGCATCCTGTAAACCACAATCTTATTAATAATCAGTTGGCGTACCTCTGGGCTGATTTAAACAAAGCCATTTTAATCCAGATGACTACGCAAAGAGACTTTCCAGTGATTAATCAGAATCACTGACAGTAGACCAACCGGGGTGTTGCTTGATCTATTTCTATTGGACCGCGCACTCCAGTTATGGAGTGAGCGATATCCATGCTGTACGATAGTACGGTGATATTCACTGTAGTTTCTATTCCCTACTTTGAGTAGGTAATCGTCATATTCAACCGGGTTACTAACAACTGGTTGTCGTCATTCCGAATAGTTCAGTTTTGTCTGATCCTAAGTAGGGTACCAAGGTCCAATTTTGCTACCTAGTGTTATAGTTATCGAAAGGCGGCAATGTGATGCGACTATCTGTGATAAAATATTAGAACCTGGTGAAGAGTGCTTCCGAGATTGAGAAGTCAATCGAATGCTTTCAGGTGTGGTAAAGCAACGGGAAATGTGCTACCTCGGTTACTCAGTCCACCTAATTCCTGACTACTGATGGATTGGATTTGTATTGTCCGTTGAAACACCTAACATTCCAGAGGTCCCCAACTTGACCATCACAATAATAATTAAGAATGCCAATAATACAGTAGATATTGCCTGAAAATCTTTACTCAGAAGAGTGAGTGAAGTTCGGTAAGCTGATGAATCGTTGCAAATAGGCCATGCGGTTGCGGAAACAATTTGGTCCTTGTAACTGGGGCAACGAACTAACTGGTGTCGACAAAAACACAAACTTGGAGCAAAGGCTTTTGGTGAAGTGAGCTGCAGTTTGCGAAGGTTCTTGAGACCTATAAACAGAAGGAGGAACGCGACGACAATAACCGTGTGAAAATACGCCATCCTATCTCAAGAACCCCTCCAAGGATACTCACCGTATCAACAGGGCCGAATAATTTTCTCATGACTGAAATAGCCGAACGACGGTGGAGGACGGTGTAAGTGTTTTGGCCAGCCGGGAGAAATATGACAATAGATGATATCAGTGTTTGACCGTTTCTCAAGGCTTAAATGAGGAACAACCCGATAAAATTCATCTCTCGGTCACAGACAGCCCGGTAGCGACACCCGACCAATGTGTCTCATAAGTAGAACAATCAGTGATAACTCATGGGCTGTATTTAGTACTACTAACGTCTTACACAGAATTTGGTCACTATAACACAATCATAATTTGCTGTTCAGGAGGTGAATGACTATATAGA